CTAGTCTTACACTCCTAAATTAGGGACGGCTAGCGCAGATAGTCCTCGTGTAGCGTTGCAAGTCCTTAAACTTATTACTGACCTACTGGGGGACATCAATGAGGGAATCCAGATATTCATTCAAATCAGTTTATTTGTGGTATTAGTTTTCTGGTGTACTTATTTATTATTTTAAAATTCCTATCCAGTTTGTTATTCAAGATTGGTCTTTATTTAGGAAATTTTGAAATTATTTCATTTCTGATCCATACAGTTAGATTATTTTGGATCCGAAGTTCTTAATATCAAACTGAAATATTTGAATTTGAGGCAAGACCATCTCTCAGAAGTTTTCCATTGTTTGGGTTGGATTGGTTGATGACGTTTTCACAGAGTTGCTAAGCAACTGTTAAAAACGCAAACCTGTTCTGTTTTTCTAAAAAGTCAAACAAAGTTTTTGTTCGATTCTGAAAAGCCCAGACAGCGCTTTTTGGGGGAAATGATTGCAAGCAACCTTTGTTTAAGAACAAAAGTTATATTGCTGGTCATTTCGAGTCTTTTCTGTGGTTGTAAATATCAAGAGTTTTGCTTAATAAAAATTTCTTACTTCCGGTTTGTTAGGTCTGACAGCTTCTGAAGTATAATTCACTATTCTTTGGCTGAGAAGTGAATGTTTATTTGCATATGAACCCTTGTTTCTTGGGTTTTAACTAACTTATGGATGTAATCTTTTTATTGGTCAAATATACAATTTTCTCTTTCCTTCTCTTTCTATTTTTTAAGTGGAATTCTTCTTATTTTTCTTGCGTTCGTGTTAGGATTCGAAGGAGCAGTACCACGTGATACCAATAGCAACGTTTATTATCACGTATTTCTCATTGGTTTAGTTTTTATTGGCAGGTCAGACATATTTTGATTCTCAGAGCCGACGAATGTTTAGCTTCGTTGCAAGAATCAGGTGGGTCGGAGAATAAAATTTGGCCTACATTTACTGGCGAGAATTAACTAAGTTTTGAGATTACACATTAAATTGTGGTGTAAAATTACACTGTAAAAAATCCGTAAAAATACACGCACTTAGCCATTATTTTTCAATGTTAAAAATATTAAAATAACGTGAAAAATAATGATATACTTTAATTTCACTGACATTATCCGGAAGTTTTGATCTATAGAACCATTTTTCAAAACACCGCCATAACCATTGAATTCAATGCGAAACAGTTGAAAATAATCTGACAGAAAAAATAGGGAGCATTTATTTGAATTA